ATATAATAAATATAATTGAGTCTAAATTTTTATATTACTATATATAATAAATATAACTATATATAAATTTTTTATATATTTTGTATATAATAAATATAATTAAGTATAAATTTTTTATCTATTTCATATATAATAAAGAAATTTAATACTTATAGCAGGTTGCAATGTCGCATTCCAAGTCATGTAGTTTTACTTATTATAGTAAATTTTAGACTTTGTATATATATACTTAAATATGTAACAAACAAATATATGATGTAATTTGTACAACGTGTGCAGGTACATAAATACAAGCCTGATTGACAAATATTCTTTTACTTGGCATAGTAATTAACAAGTCGCTTGTGAAAGTGTGAATGTATTTTTGTCTAGAAAAATAGCATTCAGTAAAGTGTAAAAAGATGACAAACAACCAAGTGAGCATAAAATAAACTTAACTTAAATACATATCATGTGAGAATATAGTTTATTAACTTCGATGTATAATATATCATATATATATAAGGTAACGATTGAAAGCAAAGCAATTGAAAGCAAAGCAATTGATAGCGAAGTGATTGAAAGTTACAAAACTTGTCTTTGAGTTTGGTGCTGTAGATTTAGTACAATACACCAATAGTGAGTGATAGCCTTAAATATAGTGACATATAAACTTATCAGAAGGTATATATTATATGAACATGACACGGTTTTGTACACGTATATATATAGAGTAGCAACTAAAAGTGGAAGTAAAACGTTTTTGGATTGTAGAACTTGTCCTTGGGTTTTTGGAGGTGAGATATCTGTACAACACATCAACAGTAAGTATTAGTCTTGAATATAGAGATATGGGGGATTTAAGATTCACATAATTAATAGCTTTTATTTAAACTTAGAGTTTCATTAAGTCATGGCAAATAATACTACCTTGGATTTTTCACATTCTGAGCTAAATAGTAAAATTGTATTCTTAAAGTAGTCTCTTTATTAATACTTAACAAATACTTAATCTTTACTTATAGGATCTATAGTGACACCTAATATATCAACCATTATTACTGATTACCAGTTTAATTCTAGCATTCAATCTATGTATTCGAATAATGAGCAGCAAAACGTTTATGAAACAAATGAAAATAGTAAATTTATGTTTTGAAGTAATCTCTTCATTAATAATTTGTAATACAGTACTTGATATTTACCTTACTATATAATCCATAGTGGTGCCTAATATATCGACTATTATTGCTGACTATCGGTTTAGCCCAGTGTTCAATCTATATATTTGAATAATAAGCAACAAAATTATTATGAAACAGATGAACATGAAACTTAAAATATTAGAAATAAATAAATACTTTTCTTGCCAAAGAATAGGAATCAAAATTTAGATTAATTTTTTAAAACTGAATTTTT